TGGCACATGTCAATTTATTCCTGGAACATGCTCAGAATATAAGTATAAGGATATAAGTTCACGCACATGCTAGGTATATGCTATAGATATGAATATGCTTTTCATTTTTAATCTGTTCTGTGCTTGTCATTGCTATGTGGGAAGTAATGGCGTCCGTTTTGATAAACTCGACACACAGGACACCATGAATGCGCATCTAATGTAACCACTAAAATAAAATAGTCGTGCGAGTAAATTCCGTTTTGCGAGCGAGCTCGCACGTTTAAAAAAAACGCACGGACCCGCGTCCAATGTAACCGCGGGCTTAAGGGAAAAGACTGACATATCAAAATATTACAAACTCGTCGCTTGTAGGTTTTAAGCCAAATGTAGGTTTTAAACCAAAGAAGTCTAGCATTTTTATACTTTGAACAAATAAAAATGTATTAAAATCTTCAATTATTATTGTTAATCTTCTTGTTTCTTGTTAATCTTCTTGTTTATTTTTGTTGATGTTAGATAAGTATTTAATAAAGATATTACAAGAATATTTTGCTTAATTAAATGAGGCCAGAAATAAGAAAAACCGAGTGAGAAAAATGGGCGAGGGAAATGGAAGTGGGAAGAAATGTAGATAATTTGACACTTTTAAAGTTTTTAAAAGTCAGTAGGTGTAGGTAATGTCAGATGTCAGCACAAGATGTCAGTACCTATTACATATCTGGTTGTAAATTGTAAATAAAATATTTAACGATACGTAGCTATCTGTATTTTGTGTTGTCAAGATTTTTTAGTTACTTAATTACAATAAAATATAATCAAAAGGCATTATAGATTTTAATGATCTGTAATATGAATCATCATAAACGTTGTAGAGTTTCGAGTTTCGATAACGTATTTGGTATTCTAACATGTAATAAGAATGCATTAGTATTTAATGAAGTACAAAACAAAATAATTTATGCATCTATTTGTAGAAGAAAACAGCATGTTACAAAGCACGTAAACAATTTACTAAATGGAAAATACGACAAACATAGTAAAAATCTAATTTTTCAATTAGTCATCATTAGGTATGTATGACACTTGATATTGGTAGCTAAAAATGCTGTGGGCAATTTTTACACAGTAGCCTGTGGTTTGATTAATTTCCTTTAGATAAATATTCATAAATTCTTACGAAAACTACAGTTATTCTTGTACTATGAATAGGCTTTGCTATGAACGTCAAATATTGCATATCATATCTAAAAAAAATTAGGTATATTCTGAATTCTAAGGTAAATTCAAAGTAAAGGTGGTCAAGATTAAGATATACAGGGGCCGGCAATAATGCGTCGGGCATCTACAGCTCTTAGAATAAAAAACTTGGGAATTTTGTTTAAGTGCACACCTAAAGCACAACCTAAAGTATGCATACCTAAGTATGTACTAAGATGTATCTCCGGAAAATATTTTAACTTCTATCGGGTGGCTCAAAAAAGTGTGAGTGGATCGGAATGATTTTTTTAAATGGAACACCCTGTATATTATTGCATTTTTGGCTTCTTTTCACTCTTTTCAGATCACTTTACATAATCCTAAGATATGACTAAAATATATTTTCAGATAGTTTCAGAGATATTAATCAATAAATAAAAAATATATATTTTTCAGCCTTTCTTAAAAAAAATATTAGAAATACAAGAACTCTCCTGAAATGAAAAATATATTAGGTCTTTACTTTAGAACATCTGTACTTACTTTTATATTTATATATGGTAATCGTAAATTATTATAGAGGATGTTCAAAATTCTCCGCCAAACTTTCTAAAATATAAATTTTTTTTTTCGTTCGAACGCCCTGTAAATGATTTTTTCAATAGATGGAGAATTAAAAAATAAACATTTTTCGTATTTAGAGTAGCATATGATACAATAAAAATTAAATGATAGAAATTAAAAAAAAATACTTTGTGTTTCCAAATCTAAAGAATTTTTAATCTGTTTTTTTATGTAAATTACTATGTTATATTTCTAATAAAGTCAAAACAAAACAAAATTTGCATAATTTTTGAATAGTCAATGACCAAAACTGGTGGAACTAGTCAGAAAAAATCACAAGGCAAGGCTAAAAACTAATTAGTATGCATCTTGATAAGTATTCTTAAACTAATTCCTGAATTATTTTTCCTGAATTACCTATATTGTACTATCACAATATACAGATCTTGATATTTATACTTATTGTAATGTTTTTTTTTTCTAGAAAGTGGAGAATATAGTAAAATATATTTAAATCGCAAATCTTAAATCAATATGTGTTTGGCATTATTAACTTAAATATTACCTTTATTAAATAAAATGTTTTCTTGACTGATTTATCCTTAATATACAGGATGTCCCATGTCCCAATATACCGTGGACATAGAACTGCTACGAATATTTGGAATAAAAATTACGCTATTACTGATCAGTAGACGATAATCATCTAGTTGGCAAAAATTTGGAAAGTTAGGTCAGAGTCACAAATGATCTTTGACATAGACTTCATCTTTATAGGTTTTAAATTAATAAACGTTTAGTTTTGTTTAGTTTTGATTTTTGATGACAGTTGTTTGTTTTTGCATCGTGTATTATTCAGTTCTTTGATTTAGTGAAATTCGAGGTGAATTCGGTCGTTTGTCGATATTGGATGGGCTTAAAAATGACTGAAACTAAGAAAACTGGTTGAGTTTGACTTAGTTTTTTCTTATACTCCTATGAGTATAACCTCCATCTAGCCTTGTATGATAACTCCATCTAGCCTTGTTCTAGCAGAAATTCTATCCTAACCTCAACTAATGTCGAAAAACGACGAACGACTCAGGGTCTCACAATGAAAAATTTGTAACAAAATTATAAGTGAAAATTTGTTGAAAAGCGCTTGTTCTATATCCTTAAACTCATTTTCGTGTTTGATCTATTCAAACAGAAATCCTATTTTTGTGTTTAAATTGTGAATTTCTGGAATGTGTGGTGTTAGAAATGATACCTGTATCCTGTGTGTAACTTTGATGTAAACTGTTGCTGCTAGACATAAACTGCTAGACTCCATAAAGGGTAGTATAATCTGGTATAATACCATACGATCGAAAAAAACGGCGTCAGAGGTGGCTTGGAAATGAAGATTGCTGTTATTTTGTATGTAAAATTATATGGGGAATGTCATCGATCGTAATTTTCAAGCCAATTGAACGCCGTTTTTTTTTCGATGGTACAGTATAAATTGAAAGCTCTTAAGTCATACAAATAAACTTCTAAATTTTGACGCAAAATTCATTGACGTAATATGTAGGTATATTTTAGAGCTGTTAATAAAAATATCCAATGAATAACGTCAAAATGTGGCTAAATAAAACTAAATCGCGAACGTTTTTACTATAAACTAAGGATGAAGTAAGTATTGTCAAATAACAGTCCTCGTATAATGTCCTAAAAATATTCTATAATGCTCCCAACATCATCCTTGTATTATCCTAGAAATATCCCTAATAATCGTAAAAGGCTTGCCTAGGGATGTCTTGAAGATGACATTTTTTGTCCCATCTGGATATCCCATAAATATCCTCCTCTGGTTTTTGGATATCCCTAAGATATTTACTATATCCTTGGTGGATATCCTCAAGATATCTATTGGATTGTGTTGTGTTATATGGGTACATTATTTGCAGCATGCCAAGTTCTTCAAACAGTTCTGTATGAAAATTAATATTATTATTGCGAATGGATATTTTATTTGAGACAAAGAAATACCCACAGAGACAAAGACTCACCCAATAAAGACCACCACATATTCATTTTTTACGACACTTAAGTATTTTAGAATATCATTGATATTGAAGTCTATTTTTTAGGCTAGGTATTGTTCGTCAGGGTTATTAGTCATGGACAACACGTTATGGATAACTAATAACTAACTAAACATTGAGTGATAAAATATCAAAACAGACCCAAAAAAGCAAAAACAATTCAAAACTAACAACACCAAACAACTAGAAAAATAGATAAGTAGGTATGTAGTTTTTAAAAATAGATAAATAGCTTAGTAGTGTATGTATTAATTTATTTTATAAAATTCAAAACAATTATCATTTTTTTCATCAGTGTTTCATCAGAAACTGGCCTTCTTCCTACCATATATTGAGGATATTCACATACCCGTATAATGTGGGTTACTGTCAACTCAACATCATAGTCTATGAACATTGGAGTGTGAATACATAGTGTGAAACTCATAGATTTAGTATGTCTATGGTGAAACTTAAGGATGTGGTTGACGGATCCTGTTTTATTGCGCGAAGCTTCGAAGGCCCCGTGCCATCGTGCCACTCATCGTGCCATTCCCTTTCCGTTCGTTTATGTAGTAGTTCTTTAAGAGCATATTTACTAATGTAAGGAAAGTCTTAAGGGTATCTCTTCTAGCAGCTTAATCTGCCATTGTGTTACCAAGGATATTATTGTGGCTTGGGATCAATACAAACGTGAATTTAGTTCCCTTTTCGCTGGACATTCGAATAAGAGTTTGAATTTTTTGTTTCAGAGGATCTTGGACAATTGTGTCATTAATTTTAGACACAATCTCTAAAGAGTCAGAGACAATTATCAATCTATAGTTTAAATTAAAGTCCATTTAGCATATCGCAACGATTCTATTGACTCTTGTATAAAAGTTAAAAGTAAAAGCCCCAACTAACTTAATTCTTAATTAAAATAAAATATTTTAAAAGCGTTTGTCCGTTATTGACTTAGATGATAATCAAACACTTAATAATCATTTGCTGATGCATTTTAAAGTAGTATTATAGTATTATGGTATATGGTATAATTTTGCATTAATCTTAATAATAATTGCATTTTGCGTTAAATATGTGCATTATTCGCAGCCCCCCCAGTCTAAGATATTCAAAATTTTTTCTATAAAACATTTTTTTATTATTACTTCGCATAATATGAATTTTGTTAAACAAATGAATAAAGCATATATAAGTGCCTGTACTCACCCAATAAGGACCACCATATATTCATTTTGTACTACACTAAAGCACACACTGTTCAAGCTTTAAGTTCCGCAGGTATACCTGTCCACCTGATGACAACAACTAATAAAAACACGACGAGTGGTCAGCTTTTAATCTTGCAGGACTGGATTATTTGCGGTCAGTCCAAGGAAGCAACGTCGAAAGCACGGATCTAGTATACAGGATGTACGATAACTGATGGTAAATTTATTTTGATTAAAGAGATTATTTTTTTTTCTGAAATACCAATGGTGTAGAATTCTAATGGTTTATAATGAGTTTGTGAGTGGCCTTTGACTTGTAAAATAACTTTAATAATAAACAATCTTTATTTCAAATTAAAATTTATATAAAGATAAATATAAAGTGAAATGATGTTACAAATTAACAAATCCGCATTAAGCTTGCATATTAAAATATTCTGTAATATTATATTTATATAATATATTTATATATTATTATATGGCTCTAAATTTATCAGTAGATTTTTTATTTTTGTCTTAAATAAATTTATCGTTTTATTTTGGCGGAGCTTATTAAATAATTTAATGCACATACAAGGTGGATCATTAGTGCGAGCGAGTATCTAATATCGTCGTTATTGACAAAGACAGTTACATAATAATAATTATTAAGTTATTAATACAGTTGTTATACAGGGGGAAGGACATTTTTCTGTTAGTGACAGTCTCTATGCTATGGATAATCCATATCCAGTGTTCTAGTTTTATATTTGTATATTTGTGAATTTTGTCTGTTTGAAAATAATATTGGTGGTGTTTAAAAAGAAACATAAAGGTGCGTATTCACTATCCGAACGAACGAACGAATGTTCATTCGTTCGTTCTGTAGTAGCACAGCAGTAGTATGGACGGGACCGGATTTTAGAACCAAACGAAAACGCCTTAACCCATTCGTTTGCGAACGCCTTTGATGCACCGACTCGAAACGGATGGCCGAGCGAACGAACAAACGAACGACCGCATGCGTTCGGTCCACCGGCCAAATATACCGAATTCCATTTGTTCGCTCGCTCGTTCGTTCGTTCGTTCGGATAATGAATACGCACCTTTAGACACATATAAATGTAATACCCCATTTTTATGTGTTTTACAGGTTTTCTCGTTTATGAGTAGCAATACATAGATGTGGTTTTCATATCACTGTGCTACTTTTTTTATGAAATTAAAGATTTGTAATTGTGTTTGTCCTTTTAGTTCCTGACATACAGGGCGAATTTGAAAATGTTGCATTTTTACCCCCTTTGTGTATCGCGGTAATCTAACAATTTCTCGAAAAGGTGAAAACTCATTCTCATAGAGTTTTCACGTATAATTCAGTGGCGTAACTAGATTTTTGCAAGGAACTGTCATTTTTGAAATACGACACAAAATTCTACGGAGATATCCTGTATACCGTGTGGGAGATAGAAAATTCCATGTAAATTTTGAAATTTGATGTTCAAATATTATTTCCCCAGATAATTTTCTGCAAAAGTTGTATTAAACTTTTTTGAAGCGGCGTTTAAATTGTACTTTTCTCTTGAATTTCGTTTTCTTTGGAATAGGCATTTAAAAGTTATTTGCAAAAATCTACCTTCTTCAAGTAGTATATGATTAGGTAGTCAAAAAAAATCAAATAATTTATTCGACATATTCAATTATATTCGGACACTTCCTGTTTCACCGGAAATTACTACAAATTTTGATTTTTAAATGGTACACGGAGAAAACGAGTCTCGAAAATATAGTAAAAATTACAATATTTTATTAATTTTTACTAAACGTTTTGGAATGTTTACAATATAAAATGTTAAAACCTTTGTTAGTAAATTTTACTAAAATATCGAAATTTTGACTATATTTTCGAGACTCGTTTTCTCCGTGTACCTTGGTATTATTTTAATTTATTTGATAAAAAACACATGCTGAATAGAGTTACATATCATATGTCAATAATTTTATGACATTTTCGCTTAAAAATATAATTTTAAATTTCAATCTAGAATACAATGGCTGTGTTCATAACGACAGTTTGACTCGAAATACCAAGTATGTGGTAGTAAATTATTCGTCAAAAAATGGCATTTTCTAAATATGCTAACGAGCTACCCTTGTTCTATTTGAAAAAAATGAGTTATGATTAAAAATACGATTGGGGCATTTTTTAACCGACCAGAAAGAGTCACGAAAAACATTAGACTATCAAATGTATTTTTCTAAAACCCCTAGATTAAAAACTAGTGGTTTCAACACAGCTATTTTTAGCGAAAATGTCTAAAGTTGACATATGATATGTCATTCTATTCAGAATGCCCTTGAGAATGCCATATTCTATCAACTAAAGTAATAAGAAATATTGAAGGTACCACTAAAAAATCAAAAGTTGTGGTCATTTCCGGTGAAACAGGAAGCGACCGAAACTAATTATTGAATACGTCAAGCAATCTTAATTTAAGTCATACGCTAACATACAAATTCTCGTTTTTTTATCTGAATAAAATATAAGAGAAAACCACTCTTAATGAACACCCGGTATAAGCTGTTAAAATTTTGCTAAAAATTAATTAACCATACTGTATATAGATAAGGAAGTAGGGGAAACCGGGGGAATCTCGCGCACGGGAGAATACCGCGCACGCCACTGTAGAAAAAACTACAACTAGTAATACACAGGTGTGAGGCTGGAAGTGTTGCATAAGCCATATGAAGTTTGCTCCAAAAGTTTAGAATAATTGCCGGCAGTCGTTAACCAATAACGAACATTTTAGTGCTAGATGGGTTTTTCATCTATCTTTTCGGCAATTTAATCTGTTGATAATTAGTAGTTCGTGTGATTATTAAAAGCAGCTTGATTTTATTTCCGCTTACCAGTGCACCTATAAGTGTTATCGCAAGCGATCACCAATAAAATGTAAGTACTTTTAAATAATAATTTTTGCCGTTTTTTTACCTAAATTTTTAGGTAAAAAAACGGCTCCCGGGGAAATACCGCGCAAAAACAAAACAAACAATAACGCGCTGAGCGGTATTACCCCAAATGTACACTCCACTTGTTTATTTTTTTATAGCTTGCTTCTTTTAGTTTATGATGCCCAGAACATACCAAAGGGCATCAGAGAAAGGCAAATGGTCAGCGGATGAACTAAAATCAGAATTGGAAACTATAGAAGAAAAAAGAATAGAGAAAAGAGAAAAAAAGAAGCAAGTAATGTAAATATGAAGGAAAAGAGAAGAGACATAAGGCAGAAAAGAGAACCAAATATTGTATTGAAAAAAAAACTCTCAACAACTTTAGAAAGTAAAAAAATCAACAAAAAGCCAAAGCACATTCGCAATATTAAGTTCGATGACGATGATACTGAACCTGAGAGTTATTCTGAAAGCGAACTTTGTGTTGATGATGATTTCGACGAAGTTGATCCTTTCCCAACCCATGAAGATGACATCTGTTTAATTTGCGGAGAGTTTGGAAGGGACAACGAGGTCTGGTATCGCTGTAATTCCAGCTCAAAGTGGGCTCATGCTGCTTGTAGTGGAAAGGAGAAAGGAAAAATCTAGCTTTGTGACTACTGTTGCTAGGTAACAGTTTATTTTTTATATAAATATCTGTGTTAGAATGTGTTTTTTTATGTTAATATACAATGATGTAATGGTGCCGGGTGGCGTAGAGGTACAGGCTCTCGTCTACCAATCTCAAGGTGTGGGTTCGATTCCCACACCCGGCATTTCATCAGCCGACTATTTTTATTAAAATAAAAATAGTTTGGGTACCTAGGTCGACTCAGCCTTAAATGAGTACTTGGGATTCACAATCTTGAGGTAATAATAGGCGGTTGAAGCGTAGTGCTAGCCACATTACCTTCCTTGTATACCGAACGGCTCTAGTATAGCAAGCTGTACCTTGCTACTCCCAAGGCGTTAAACGCTATATACGGGAGCTATTATTATTATATTACAATGATGTATCTTTACATTTGTTCTCACTATCATCTTTTTTATTATTTGTGTTATCTATATACCTGTATTTTATTTACAATAAAGTCTAAGTTAAACTGCCTTAAAATACCTGAATGCGTGCCATTCCCTTAGACCATGCGCAGTATTACCCAAAAGCCCGGGTAATACCGCGCTGACACATTTTTATTTTTTTGTGTTAATAGGTACAACAAAACAAAAATGTTTAATTTTCGATGTTGCAATAGTTAGTATATTGTATCAATACTCTTTAGACAAAAAATTACCTCATAAAAAAAATTAACATCAATCTAGGAGCTATTTTGCTTATGTGCGCTGAATTCTCCCGGCTTCCCCTAATACAAAACAATATCATTAATTTATTCAAAAATAACCACTATACCCTGTGTTTATTAGTAAAACAAGAACGACTCTATACTCTATTATTCTTTATATGACATAATTTACTCAAAATACTTCATGGGTACTGCAGGTGACTAAGTACTTCAAAAACCACTTAGTTTATGGAAATTTAGTGACATTCTCGTATTTTCGCACTTCAGTTTTTATAGTTACATTTCTATGAATTTTAACTACTAAAAATAACAAGAAATATGTAGGTATAATAAATTATTTATTCTTATTAACTAATTATAAAGGGTTGTTCACCACATACGACACAGACTATTGTAGCTAAACGATTAGATTTTTACAAATTGTAAGTTTTGGGTTCGTTGAAGGACTATTAGAGATACAATTTAAAAATATTTTTATAATATACAGAGTGTCCCAAATAAGTAAAAAATATTATAGTTTTATTTTTTTTAATTTTTAAAAATCACCCTGTATATTATTCTATTTTTAGATTTTTGATTTGATTAAGGTTTATCATACTTAAATCTAACCGGTTTTGAAATATTTTTAATTTTATGAAATTGCAGTAAAAATTTTAAGGCTTTACTTCTCCAAGGATCGTCAAAGTTTTTAATACTAAATATTTCTCTTCTTCTCGTCCGTTAACTCTCGAAAGAGTATGGTGACATCATGTCTCAATTGCTCGGATCGTTGTTCTCCATCCATCTCTATCTTGAGCGGCTATAGAAGCCTCTTGCAGGCCGTGACCAATAGTTTTTTTGGTTTGGTCCACCCAGTGCGTCGGAGATCTTCCTCTTGGTCGTTTGCCCATTAATCTTCCCTTCG